GGGGAGAAGGGACACATGCGACATACTGCAGTGCAACCGCCCACGGCCTACGACGTCCAGCCGTGGTTCATAGAAGACAAGGCGTCTCCATCAGGAGCCAGAGGTGCCATGCTACAGTACCCGCGCATATCAAGAAAGGAGGCGGGAGGAAGGGGAGGAGAGGAAGAAGCGACAGAGAAAAAAGGGGAAGGAGGAGGAAATATCGGAAACTCGCGAGGCTGAGCGACGCGACCTCGCATACGTCTGGCACCGCACTCTTGGCGGGCATGGCGAAAGCCAGAGAACAACTAGTAGAATGAGCATGCATCGATACAAACGGCAACCTGGAGAGGGGAGGGAGTGGGGAGGCATATCTGCAAAGTCGAACACTCAGGCCCCAGCACGTGCCAAGCGCCATCCAGCCGGCGTGGACGAAGTGGCCGGGAGTTCAAACGAGGAGGAAGCCTCCGCACAGCGCATCTCCTAATGTGAACCTGAGAGATGCGGACGCTGCCGAAAATGCCCCCCCCCCGAGGGGCCGCAAGCCCAAGAAGGCGAGGGACCGCCCCCCGACGACGACGACGACGACGACGACGACGACGACGACGACGACGACGACGACGACGACGACGACGACGACGACGACCACGACGACGACGACGACGACGACGACGACGACGACGACGACGACGACGACGACGAGAAGCGGCCCCCACCCCCCCGAGGCGTGGGGCCCCCAGGGGAGGCGGTGGGAGGACGCGAGAACATTCACGTGCCAAGGGAAAGAGGAGGAGGGAGGAGAGCGCAGCAGAGGAGGGGGGTGCCGACAAAGTGGCTGAAGATTTTTTCAGCCACTTTGTTTCGGAGGCAGCGAGCGGGGAGGCCCCGCATGGGCGGCGAAGGCGGCCCAAGACAGCCCGCAAAGATCAGGAGTTCAGGTTTTTCAGCTGCAAAATAAATAAATCGCACCCCGTGCGACTACCATGCAACACAGTGGCAGCAATGCAGCTTTAAGATTTGTTGCTGCTACCTCGTCTCCCCCAGGCAGGCACTTGCGTTAAAGTGCCCGGTGGCTCCTGCAGGGGCTAAGGAGGGATGCTGTTACACATTCGACTGTTCCCACTCCGACCGGCACGAGCGTCGGCGGCGGCGGCGGCGACAACCGAGGACCAATGCTGAACCATCGACGGCCGGCTTGTACAGACAGAGTGATAATGTCACGGAGTCGGTGCGTCCCGGATTCGGTGCACGATGCGCACCGCCCGTGGCGCTGCGGGACACACGACGTCATGCGCGCACGCCTAGAGGGAGGAAGGAGGCGAGGGAGGGAGGAAAGAAGGACGAGGGAGGAGGGGGGAGAGGAAAAACGGCAGAAACGCTAAGTTGCGCCCCAGTGAGGGCGGCGCCGGGCAAGCCGCAGAAGGCCGCCCAGCTGCGCGTGGCCCCTCGCGCCCTCTTTCAAAAACGAAACTAGCGCGTCAGGGGCGCTGCGCCGCAGGAGCGATCCAGTCCGCACCGCGGCTTGCGCCCTGTACGCCGCGTACACTGTGAGGGCGCGAAGGAGGGTGCACTGCTCCGCGCTTCTCTCGACCCCCGCCACGCCCTGCGAAGGCAGCAAATTGAGAAAGCACCCTAGCTTGCTGTCCCTGCCCGCAGGGGTCTCCAACCCCGCGTGCTTTCGACAGAACGCGTGGTAGACTTCGCATTGGGCGTAATGCTCTATACAATCAGCTCCGCCGCCGCAGTGGAGGGCACAAGGCGCGCCCCCTTGGAAGCGCCGCGCCGTGCACCACCCGTTCATGGCAATGCGGAGGAAGGCCGCGGCAACGCGAGGCGTGCCGCGGGCGCTGAGCAGCCGCCCCACGTTCACCAGCTGCGCGGGGCGGTCCCGGGGCTGGGATCGCAGCGGCCACCGGTCCAGCCTCCTGCGAGCATGCGCCATTGCGGCGCCAGGAGCAGGCCGCAGGAGCTGCGTCGCCTGCCGCTGCCAAGTCCTCTTCGTCTGGAGGTCGTCGGGGTCGACGCCGAGCAGGACTGGGGGGCGCCCCGCCGCCCGCTCGGCCGCCGCGACCTCGTCCGCCGCCGCTGTGAGCCCGCATAGGGAAGAGCTTCGGATCCACGCCACCGTGGCCAAGCTGACGTCGTTTGCCTCGTGCAATTTCTCCAGGAGCCGCCGGGCCCGCGCCCGAGCGCGAAGGCCACCGTCCCGGTGGTTCTCGAACACGAACACCCGGGCAGCCGCCGCCGAGGCGCTGGCGGCGAGCGAGGCGAACTCGGCCGTCAGGCCGTATTCCGTGAGGGCCTGGAGGACAGTCGACGGCATCCAGTCCGCGGGCCCAGGCACCAGTCTCTGGAGGGCTCTCTCTTCCTGGGTGCGCGCCTCCGCGGGCACCCATTCCAGCTGCCCAACGATACAACCCGAAGAGAGAGGGCGCCCTCTTCGGGTTGTATTGTTGGGCCGTGGGGGCTTCTCGGGTGATTTTTGGAGGCCTTTTAGAACTTTTCCGAGGCGTCTGGAGAGGTCTTGGGCGCATGTTGGGAGCCGCACCCCCTGAGATAGACACCCCCAAGGACTCCTCGTGGGCCTTCTTGGGACCGTGTTGGGCCGTCTTTGGTGCCTCTTGGGGATCTCTGGGGCCGTCGTGGGGAGACCTGGGAGGGTCGGTCCAAGCCAGGAGAGGCGAGGACACGAAAACTTGTCAAACACGGAAGATCTATGAATTTGACCCTCGGAGGCCACTCGGAGGTCTTCAACGGGCTCCGGGGCCACACTGCGAGCCTGGTCGACCGTCTCTTGTCCCTCCTGGACAGTGTTTGCGCCCTGTGGGGCCATTGGGAGCCCCCCTGGGCCGCGGTGGAAGACCAGAGCACCCGGAGAGCCCCTGGAAGGCTCCCCTACCCTCCCCCATCAGGAGGCCGCAGCCCCCCATGCACTCGTCCTCCAGAAGTGAGCGCTAGAGAGAGAGAGAGAGAGAGAAGAACCAAACAAATAAAATAACAACAAAAAATATGCACTGCGTGGAGCTCCCCATATGTGCATCTACTCGCATGGACCTGTCCGCCGTGAATGTCTAGGCGCAAGAGCTTTCGAATATTAACGGGCTTCAGTTGTGACGGTCTGGACATCAATCTAACTGCGAATGAATTGGAGTGTGAATGAGCCTCAGTAGTACGAGCGCGTCTCTGTGCATGAGCCTGGGGCCTCCTGGGGCCTCCTGAAACCTACTGGGGCTTCCTGGGGTCTCCAGGAGCCTCTTGGGACCTCCTGGGACCTCCTAGGAAGGTTTCGTGCCCCAGGGGAGGCGCAATCTATAGCAACAGACGTACATAAAACATTGCGGATTAGAGCCACAGGAGAAGGGCAATCTATAGGAACACGCGTAAAACACCAAGGACTCGTGCCCCAGGAGAGGCCCAATACATAGGAACATGAGTAAAACATTTAGGATTGTGTACACAGGAGAAGGACCATCTATAGAAACATACGTAGAACATCAAAGAATCGTGCTCCAGGTGAGGCCCAATCGATAGGAGCATACGTAAAACACATGGGATTGGAGCCACTCCTGTTGCCTTCTGAGGCCTCCTGCTCCTGGGGCCTCTCGGGGCCTCCTGTTGCCTTCCGAGGCCTCCTGGCGCTTCCTGTTGTCTCCTGGGGTCTCCTGTGGTTTCCTGAGGCCTTCTGGAGCTTCCTGGGGCCTCCTGGAGCCTCTTGGGACATCCTGTGGCCTCTTGAGTCTTTCTGTGGCCTCCTGATGCCTCCTGGGACCTCATGTGGTCTCCTGGAGCCTCCTGGAGCCTGTTGGAGCCTCCTGTGGCATCCTGAGAAGAATCTGCGCCCACGAGCCTGGCCACCAAAACTAACAAACCGATCGAGACATCCTCAAAATCTGGCCCACCTGGGGGGTGAAAATGACGCCTCGCTCGAGACATCCTCCAAATCTGCTCCGAAAGCGAAGGATGTTGGGCCCAGAAACAAGCAAACCGCCTGAGACATCCCCACAAAATGGCCGCGAACGAGCCCGTGCAACCACCCCTGGCGGCTCCCCTTAGGGGTGCTGAAACCAGCGCCTCGCTCGAGACATCCTCCAAATCTGCTCCGAAAGCGAAGGATGTTGGGCCCAGAAACAAGCAAACCGCCTGAGACATCCCCACAAAATGGCCGCGAACGAGCCCGTGCAACCACCCCTGGCGGCTCCCCTTAGGGGTGCTGAAATGAGCGCCTCGCTCGAGACATCCTCCAAATCTGCTCCGAAAGCGAAGGATGTTGGGCCCAGAAACAAGCAAACCGCCTGAGACATCCCCACAAAATGGCCGCGAACGAGCCCGTGCAACCACCCCTGGCGGCTCCCCTTAGGGGTGCTGAAATGAGCGCCTCGCTCGAGACATCCTCCAAATCTGCTCCGAAAGCGAAGGATGTTGGGCACAGAAACAAGCAAACCGCCTGAGACATCCCCACAAAATGGCCGCGAACGAGCCCGTGCAACCACCCCTGGCGGCTCCCCTTAGGGGTGCTGAAATGAGCGCCTCGCTCGAGACATCCTCCAAATCTGCTCCGAAAGCGAAGGATGTTGGGCACAGAAACAGGCAAACCGCCTGAGACATCCCCACAAAATGGCCGCGAACGAGCCCGTGCAACCACCCCTGGCGGCTCCCCTTAGGGGTGCTGAGTATGAGTAAGTCTGTGTATGAGTAAGTCTGTGTATGTGTACGTCTGGGTATGACTAATACTGTGTATGAGTAAGTCTGTGTATGAGTAAGTCTGTATATGAGTATGTCTGAGTGTGAGTAAGTCTGAGTATGAGTAGGTCTGAGTATGAGTAAGTCTGAGTATGAGTAAGTCTGTGTATGAGCAAGTCTGAGCATGTCAGACAGGAGGGGACGAGAAAAGAGGAGGAGGAGGAAGGAGGAGTAGGAGGCGTCCAAGTAATAACAAGAACCCCATCCAAATAAAATAACAACAACAAAAAAACGTAAACAACAACGAACAACAACAACAACAACAACAACAACAGCAACAACAACAACAAAAACAACAACAACAACAACAACAACAACAACAACAACAACAACAATAGAACAAACAAAACAACGGAAAATGTTGGCCAGCGTGGCCCCCGAAACGCCGGATTTCGATCACTACATGTGGTGTTGTCTATGGGGAGACACTCTATGTGATGAAACGAATGCGGAGCAGGCTATGGGGCGTAGACGATGCAGTGAAACTTACGTTGTGCAGTCTATGTCGTGCAATGCACGATGTGCAATATATGTTGAACAACATGTGGTGCAACATACATTGTGCAAGATATGTGATGCAATACATGCGCAGCAATGTATGCGGTGCAATAGATGCGATACACGCTATGTGTTGGAATATATGCGATGCAATCTGTATATCTATATATACATATATATACATATGTATATACATATATATATATGCACATGAATATACATATATACACACAGGTGGTGCAATGTATGTTGCGCAATCCTACTTGCGTTTGTGAAATGTGCTGTGCAGCAGTTGTGGTGCCCACTACATGGTGCAGTGTATGATGTGCGATGCATGTTATGCAAGCCATGTCGAACAATATGTGTTGTGCAATATGTATATATACACATATATGTAGATATATACAAATACATATATATAGTGTGTGCGATCTAGAATGTACAACATACGTGGTGCATCGGGGGGCAATATCGGCGGTGCAGCATGCGTGATGCAATTTTTGTTGCGCAGTCTACATTGGGGCGGCGACGGCGGCAACACAGCCACCGGACCGACAGACAGGCCCAGACGACGGGCGGCGACGAGGGGGCGAAAGGGCGGCGACGAGACGGCGATTGGGCGTCGACGGCTGCAGCATAGCCGCCAGACCGACAAACAGGCCCAACTCCTTCGCAACATGCAAGAAGTCCAATGAGCAAGCACTGTTTGGGCAACATTCCGGAGACAGCGCTGTTCTCAATCATGTGACTGGGGACTCGGACGGGTTCAATGAGGTTTCGCCTCCTTGCCGCCCGTGGCCGCCTCGTGGCGCCTCGTGCAATGGGTCGGTGCGGCGAGGTTTCGCCACGCTGCTGCCTGTGGCCGTCTCGTGGCCGCCTCGTACGCTGGGGGGTCTGGCGAGGTTCGGCCACGATGCTGGCCGTGACCGCCTCGTGGCCGCCTGGTGCGCTGTGCGGCGAGGTTTCGCCACGCTGCCGCAACGTGGACGTCTCGTGCGCTGGGTAGGTCCAGGGAGTTTCGCCACCTTGCCGCCCGTGGCCGCGTCGTGGCCGCCTCGTGGCCGCCTCGCGCTCTGGGTGGGTCTGGCCCGGACTCGCCGCGTTGCTGCCCGTGGCCGCCTCGTGGCCGCCTCGCGCGCTGGACAGGGCCGGCGAGGCTTCGCCGCGCTGCTGGCCGCGGCCACCCCGCGGCCGCCTCGCCCGCTCGGTGGGTCCAGCGAGGTATCACCATATTGCCGCGGCAGGGTTTCGCCACGTTGCTGCCAGCGGAACATACAAAAGCAGAAACAGGTGGTTTTTCACCACTGGTTTTGTAAAGTGGCTGCCCGCAGGCATTTGCTACAGTAATTCTTATAGCTATCTATATATATATATATAAATAAAAAATACAAAAAAAACAAAAAAAACAAAAAAAAAAAAAAAAAAAAAAAAAAAAAAAAAAAAAAAAAAAAAAAAAAAAAAAAAAAAAAAAAAAAAAAAAAAAAAAAAAAAAAAAAAAACTGTCAGCAATGTCGACGGAAAAACATAGACACAAAAATCGAACCACGCGCGCGTTGATCCAGCATGCGCCCAACGCACGAAACCTTAAGAAACCACGCGAGCCACACGCGCGCGTTGCCACGCGTGCGTTGACACCCGTCCAAATCCAATATGTTATGCTGACGAGTTATCAACACAGGGATCTTCAAGACAAGATGAAACCAATCACCAGATTCACAAAAAAAACTGCCCAGGTTCATTGATGTTCGCGCGCATGCACTTCCTCACCATCACCCTCATCAGCGCCGCCCTCTCACGTCAGCGCCGTCGACAATCGCCGCACTTGCCGCCATCATCGATCAAGCACCCTCATCGGCGGCACATGGACATCATCATCGTCATCGGCGTTACCAAAAACGGCGCCGCCATTGGCCTTGCCGTCGTCACCATCCTCATGGCCACCACCATCGCTACTATTATTACCGTTGCCGCCGTCGCCGCCATCGTCACGATGTTGCACCCGCCCGAGCCATCGACCCGCATGGAAGTGCCCGCGCGCCAGTGCCGCCTCCGAGACGCGCTGAGAAGTTCAATTAGGGGCTCCTGAAGACTCTCCCGAATATGCAAAAGTTATCAAAAAGTTAGTT